GAAGATGGGCCATGGAAGGTGCTGTGCGTGGAATAAGCTTTGCACACGTGTTTGATGTCACCAGTGCACCCCTAAGGATAACAGAAAATCCCCCAAACCCAACAAAATGAGAAGCTTGAATTAGTGATTCAGAGAAATAGCTCTGAGACCTCCCAGAAAACGGGATTTTTAGAAGAAGAAGAGGAGGAGGAGGAGGAGAAGAGGAAGAGGAAGAAGAGGAGGAGGAGGAGGAGGAGGAAATAACCAAACAGAATGAGGGAACAATGAGTCAGAAAGGTAGAGGGGCCCAAGAATGAAAGGTTTTCCCAAGAGAAACAAAGCAGATTGAAAATGAAGCAGTCGCAAAACACGCCACTGAGAATACGTCCTGCACTGAAGACCCCCGCAGCCCCCACCTGAGAGCTCTGCCATTCAGGGGCCGGTGGTATCGCTGTGGCTCGGGCTGTGTTTAAACACTGGCATATTTGTTGTTCTGGGAATTGAATCAAAATTGAGACGCTCCTCCGAGAAGACCTGGCTTGCTATAATTGGCCTGTGCAATTTTCTGCTCACAGCCTCCATTCATTTCCTGTGTGCAGCCCAGTCCATCTGAGGCCAGAGCTCGGCTTCCCCACCAAACACCACCTGAGCATGCTCCCCCCGGAGCTATGGCAGAATGGGAGGGGAGGCCACTGTAGGGACTCAGAGGGATTTCATGCTGCTTATGAATTCAGGGGAAGGGGAAGTGTTTGCAAAGTGCTGACAATCCAGTGGTATAGAAGACGCAGAGAGCCTTTTCTCCCTGTGGATTTGCTGAGCTAGCAGAAACAGCCAGGTTGGAGGGTGGGGGCAGCGCTCCGGACCAGAGGGTCCTTGTGTGTGTGTGTTGCGGGGTGCTTATGAAGACCTTTCCACACCCCAGATAGCATGGGACATACAGGGTTGGAGGGATAATCCTGAGGGTGGGCTACAAGGCTGCAGAAAGAAGTTGGGGCTAGATCAGGGCCAGCCAGCCTACCCCTGATGCAGGAGCATAGCCTGTCCATCGGAACCCTCTGGTTCCACTGGCTGTGACACTGGCAAGCTTCCCTTGTTTATTATGGTGGGGTAATTGTTACAGAGCTGCTTCATGGAAGCCAGAGCATTCCCTCTAGTTCTGAAATAATCCAGCCATGCTGTTTGAATTACCAAAAATAAAGAAAAAAAACTTCACAGTATTTCTCTCTTTCTTTCTCTCTCTCACTCTCTCTCTCTCTTTCTCTATCCAGTCTCCCAGGCTGGCCTAGTTGCTCAAAGCCCACTTGAGTTGAAGAGGAGGCTTGCTCAGCCCCTGGGAATTCAGGGCTCCACTGTGCTGAGCTCAGCTTCCTGCCGGCAGGGCTCAGAGGACAGGGTGTCTTGAGGGTGCTCTCTGCCTTAGTTTCCAGTGTCCTGGTGAGGTCAGGGCTCTGCATGGCAGGCATGGAGTGTAGGGAGCCCCCAGAAGGGAGAGCCACTTACCCAGGAGACCCAGGGGCAGGCTCCCCTGGGGTTCAGGGTAGGCAGAAGCATATTCTTCCTGACTAGCCAATACACATACATGCACACACATGCAAATGCAGTGCATTTTAAACTATTATCCTGACACTGATGGTATTGCTGAATGGAAGGGATCCAGTGGTCCAGCCCTTGCCTGACAGGCCTCAGACACAGGACTTCATCCCCAGCACCACCAAAGAAAAGAAAAGAAAAGAAAAAAAATAAGTGTTATTCTTCAAAATGCAAATGTGCTAATTGCCCCGGGAGGGGTCCAGCCTCTCATTAACACCTCAGGTGGATGAGAGCTGAGAGCTGTCTGGGTAGGGAGGGAAGCAGCTAGGGAGAGGCAGCTCTGCCTGTGGCCCTGGTTCTCCCACACCCCACCTCCGATACAGACTCCAGCTTGTGCCTAACACGGAGGGCCCTGTGCAGCGGGGAAGATTTACTGGGCGGGGGGCAGCCTGTCCCCACGAGCACTGGTGTTTGTCCTCCGAGCTCAGTCTGAACCCACAAGAGGTGGCTGATAAAGGCCATCTGAAGAATACCCACTGCTCCCCCTCTGGAGGCAAGGCGAGAGGCAAGGCACAGTGGCTAACTCCAGTCTGCCAACAAACCAACAAAAAGGCTGCAGCACAGAGCAGCTTAGAGGAGGAGGGCGGGTGACTGCCTCCTGGCAAGCATGAGGACCCGTGTGAAACAGCAGGCGTGATGGCCTACGTGTAAGGAGAGACAGAGAGACAGGCAGCCTCCAGGGGCTCACTGGCCAGCCAGGGAGGAACTGTCTCCAAAAAGAGAGTGGCCAGGGTTGGAAAGATGGCGCAGCAGGGACAGGCACTCACCGCCAAATCTGACCATTCAAATTCGAGTCCTGACACCCACGTGATATAGGGAGAGAACTGACTCCTCAAATTGTCATCTGACCTCCATAAGTGTGCTGGAGGCAGGAGAGAAAGAGACAGGTACAGAAAGGATAAGAAAATTGTGGGGCACACGCCCTTAATCCCAGCATTAGGGAGATCAGCCAGGGCTACATCTGACACCTTGTCTTTTTGTGTGTGTGAGATTTTTTTTTTTTAAGACAGAGTCTCACTCACTATGTAGTTCTGGCTGTTCTAGAACAGCTTTGTGACCAGGCTGGTCCCGAACTCATGAGATCAGCCTGCCTCTGCCTCCCCAGTGCTAAGATTAAAGGCATGCACCCTTATGCCCAGTGAGACCTTGTCTTAAAGAAAAAAGCTAAGAAAATTAAGTATGCTAAAATGACAAACCTGCCAAGTTTTAATTTTGTTGATTGTCATAGATAAAAAGATTGATTGACTTACTGATTGACTTAAATTATATATGTATAACTTTTTGAATATTCAAAGTAATCTTGTTTCATCACTTACATTATAATAGGAAAAAAACTCCTCCATCATCATGAAAAATGGGCTTTTATTTGTAGCCTTTTGGTTTTCACTGCTAGAACTTTGGATCCTATTATTACCCAATTCTTTTATAGCTACTGTTTAAATATAATTTCTTTTATATTATTATATTTTGTAGCTCTGTTCCTGTCAGCGGTTTAAACTCAATCTGGCCTTTACCCCCTTGGGCGCTGAATTTTCTAATACCACAGTCCCTCGCCTGCCTTCTGGCTCTTGAACCTTTTATTTTAATCCCTCTGGGTCAGCTGAGCTACCACACCTTTGAGCAGTGTTTTTCTCTTGCTGGTTGGTCCACAGCTCCTGCTATGATCAGAATCGCAGCCCTGCTGAATGAGCGAATAGAGAGGGCTCCATCTTGACCCTAAGAAGGGCAGATGCCAGCCTCTTCCACACTCTGGTTTCTTGGTTACAAATGTGGCCACCTGCTTTACACTCTTGCTCAGAGCAGGAAAAGCCCCAAGCAAGATCTGACAAGATGGCTCGGCCAGTAAAGGTGCTTGCCACTAAATCTGATGGCCCGAGTTCAACCCCTGGAACCCAGAGCATATGAGGAAGGACTGACTCCTGCCCAGTGTCCTCTGACTCCAGAGTGCTGTGGCTCACTCCCAAACATACAAGATATATAGTAAAAGGTGTGGCTTTATTTTAATTAAAAAAAGAAAAAGGAAAACCTGGGGGGCTGGAGAAATAGCTCAGTGGTTAAAAGCTCTTGGGTACTTTTATGGAGGACCTGAGTTCAGTTCCCAGCACCTACCTCAGGCTGGAGCAAGTCTAAAGGCTTGTGGGACAGTTGTTGGAACTGTGGAGCTGAGTGGACTTGACCTGGTTTGAGCAACAGAGCATTTCTCGCAAAACTGCTCACATCATGGCTGGGACAGGAGGAGGCTGCAGACCCACTAGGCCCCACTCTTAAAGATCTCCCACCTCCCAATGGCACCATGGACTGGGGACAAGCCCTAAGTACACGAGTCTTTAAGATGACAAATCCAAATGAGAGCACGCCCAGCCTGACACTCTGGTCTGTCATGGCGCTTTTATTGTTTCTTTTCTTCTCTTTTGTGTTTGTTTGTTGCTGTTGTTTTGATACTCAGCAGTTAGGTCTCATCCACACTGATCCCGAGGATGTTTACACGTGCTTGCAAGGACGTGGGTGCCCCGTAGAGCGTACTCAGCGTCTCCTGGACTCAGTGAGTTTCCTGGAGAGATGCACACAGGGACAGCATGGGCCATGCTTTGTTCTGTCAGCATGTGGAGCTCCCATCTTTGTGGCAAATCTCTCTGGGCCTGGGTTGCTTCCAGAGACCTGATCCTTGGGTTCACTTGTGAATGGTCATGGCATGTTCTGGCACATTTTGTTGATGGCACAGTGTCCCTTTATTTTCTTGCCATGTTCTTTGCAGAAACCAGTCTGCAAGGCCCACCCAACTGAAAATAAAAAAGGGAAAGTGCTAGGGATTGTGGGAGAGAATACCACTTTGCCAGTATAACTTCTGGGCCACTGAGTTGGGGGAAGGGGCCAGGTTCACCATGGCTTTGCTTTTTAAAGATTCATTTATTTTTATTTGTGTGTCTGTTGTGTGTGCCTGCGTGAGTTTATGTATTCCATGTGTGTGCAGGAGCCCAAGGGAGCCAGAGCATGTCGGATCCCCTGGAACTAGAGTTACAGGCAGTTGTGAACCACCTGAGAATCAAACTTGGGTCTCCTGCAAGAGCAGTGCTTGCTCCTAACTTCTGAGCCATCTCTCCAGCCTCTCCCCATGGCTTTTCATAGCCAGCTTGTCACCACAGAAACCTAGCCATGGGATACTGTCCAGCGGCCTCCCGGAAGAGCATGGCTTCCTCCAGCTGTGGGGTGCCTGGGCCTTGTTCCTTCCTCCCTCCTGCCTCAGCTTTGCTCACCTTCATCTCTGTGCTTCCTACCATCAAAATCCTGGCTCTGGCGGCTGGATGGGGGCAATGAGCCAGGGGGGCATGTCTTCTCCTGTCTTGCTCCACTTACAGAAACATTTCAGTTTCTGCATTCCTCCCCTCTCCTGTGCTCTTCGCTTCTCTCCCTGAAGCCACATCGAGATTCAGTATTCCAGCCAGACACTCCAGCTCCGCACATGCAGACCCGCCATGCAACCCAGGGATTAAATAGCATCAACATTCAATTACAGATCCGCTCTGTTTTCACTTTAATCAGAGGAATGCATGTGGTTTAGAAGAAAAAAGAATCAAATTGTTTGGCCAAGTGTCAGCCAGCAGAGGCAGCCGCAGGCCAGGCCTCCCTCAGCCCACGGCGTTCTCGTGCTGGGCCTCCTCATCACGCTCCTTGTGACTCAGCAACACAAGATGCCTGCTATTGACTCATGCTGTTGGAGGTGAGGAGCTGCCGGCCTTGTCTGCTCTGCTTCCTCTCTCCCCTCCTAATTTATGATCATTTTAATATCTTGTAGCCCTTTAATTACATCTGTAACTCTATGTGATATCGCCGCCTTCATTTCCATAGCATTGCACCCCAGCCCCGGAGCTGTGGAGGCTTCTCTCCCTCCTCCCCAGTGCTCACACCCCCCTGCTTTTCTAGATCTTACCTTTACTGGCAGGTTGAGGTTCTATTATTTAACTGTCATTAATTCTTCCAAGCTCAATGATTTGTACCCAGGTCCTGATTTACAGAGGTAGCTGAGTGGTACTGTGCAAAGATGGGTTTATTACTCACAGACTGTGAACGATGGGACCACCATGCTGCTTAAGCCACAGGAGACGAGGGAAGACACGGGCCACCATGGTTTGGCTAGTTGGAGTATTTCCAGCAGACTTTGGGCCTTTTCATGGGGTTCTTGTCCAGCACTGGGGTGGAGGAGATAGAGCAGCAGAAATGTAGATTGGTGGGACAGACTTCTTCATGTGGCTTCTCGTTCTGAAGGGGGCTCTGGGTGGTTCCTGCTGCCTCAGAACTTCCCACCTGCCAAGAGACAAGCAGGTACAGAGGTGGTCCTAGTATAGCAAAGTTCCGTGACCTGACTGGAGAGAGGGAAAGCTTTCTCTCTCTGAAAAATTCTAGATAAATGTGATTTCCCACTAGTGAAATAAGAGCTCATCTGCAGAAGGGAAGAGAAACATCTACAAAGATTTGCAGGCAAAAAAGAGCTTAGTATGTTCAAAGGAGAGAAAACATCGGGGTTTAGCTGCAAGGCATGGGGCGTGGCAGGAGGCAGGGCTATGGGCTTCTGGTGGCCAGGTTGTCTGGCAACTCCTGGGGAACCAGAATTCACTCACTCTCTCACTGTCTGTCTCTGTGGTGTCTCTCTCTGTGCATGTATGTATGTATGTATATACATACATATATGTATGCATGCATGTGTATGCTCAAGATGCATTAGGGAAGGCTGTCTCTTCTCTACCATAGCAGGTAGTCCTTTATGATGACCACAGTGTAAAAAGGACCATATTGTCACAGGCCAGTTCCTGTTGCTTTCGGGGCTGGGTCAGCCTGGAGCTTGTAGAGCAGCAGGACATTCTCCTTGAGGACAAGAGTCCATGCTTTGTTTGCTGTGCCTTATCTGTTTGTTCTGTTGGCCACTCACATAGTCGATTGCTCACTAAGGTTAGGGATGGCTCAGACACAGCCCTGCCCCTAGTCAAAAGAATAGAGAGAGCTACGCATGAAGGTACACACCTTTAATCCCCACCCCACACTCAGGAGGAGAGGCAGGCTTATATCTCTGAGTTTGAGGCCAGCCTGGTCTCCATAGCAAGTTCCTGGCCAGCCAAAGCCACACAGTGAAATCCTCTCTCAAGAGAGACAGGCAGGCAGACAGAAAGACACAGACACTTGGCAGGGGGAACAGGCAGGCAAACAGTAGACAAGCAGGAACTCCAGCCCAGTGATGGCTTGTCCCAGTGGTACCTGATAGCCTTGGAAGCATGGCAAAAGGGCCTTGACTCTGCAAGTTCTGGCATGGAAGAATTCCTAGGGGGATATGGATGTCCTATGGGAGACCTGGCTGCAGGGACTGCCAGGAACAGCATGTGGAAACTGCCCTTCCCCTCTGTGGGATGAGGGGCAGGGAGAATGGGCAAGCCAGAGAAGTCAGTGAAGATTCAGACAGGCAGTGAGATACACCGGGAACACTGGGGTCATAACCGAGGTCAGACCGGCAAAGGGCTGGGCAGTGGGCAGACCGGAGTCTTCGGCCTCCCTTTCTCCATCCTCGCTCACAGCCACTTCCTGAGACTGTCCCCTTCCCTCTGCCAGAGCCTGGGCAATTCCCACCTGCTCCTGCCACAGCCATTTAGGGACCTCCAGTGATTAGCGGTTGTTATTGTGGTAATTAAAACTCCCCGGGAACAGCTTGGCTAATATCTATCAGTATCTGCGGGCAGGTTGGCCCCTGTGAGCTGAAATGGTAATGAAACCCTCGAAACCCAGCACAAAGCAGTGCTACCGGAGAGCAGAGCGTTAAATGCAGCCAGACGTGCGGCCAGACGCCCTTCGAGCACCATGGCAGCCGTGTGGGTCTTTTCTCATTAAATGGCACTTTCAAGGCTGGCTGCTTTGCTGGTCTTATCACAGCAAACCACACATGGGGAGCAGAGTGGAGCTGCGCTTCAACACTTAGCTTCTCCAGCACAGAGTGCTCTCCCGTCTGTGGGCCTAGCGCGGCGTGGGGGTTAGACTCCGAGGAGGGCTTGTCCTGAGCCGTTCTTGGGGTGGGGCCGAGTGGCTGGGCAATGATGGGCCTGGATGTGCTGGGCAGACGTCATACGATTGGAAGCCATTGTTGTGCAGGTTGTAGAGGGGGGAGGACAGTGAGGCCGGAGAAGGCCGGGCTGTGCATGGACAGGCATGGATGGGATTGCCGCTCAGAGCTTGGCCCAGCGGCATCTCCACCGCTCGCCTCACCAGGCCTGCTCAGCCACGTAGAAGGTGATTTTCAAAACACTGAGAGTGCATTTGGTAGACATGTGCACAGGCACACTTCTGTGCTGAGTGACACACCCACACACCCGTGCTCTGGGGGAGGGCCTCAGGAAGTGCCTCTCCCCAGCCATTCTGCGTGGCAGGGTATGCTATGGGACCATCCATGCCTGGGTAACAGTGACAACACGGTTGGGAATCAGCCCAGAATCCTTCAGAAATGACATGCCTCAAACCTGCCCGCTGAGCCCTGGGGAGACACGAGCCTGGCTGGCCGGAGGGTTGTGTACATGGAGTGTAAATGCTGAGGTAAAGTTGATAAGGTTTGTTAAAAGTTTAGGTGATTGAATACTCCCCCCCCCCCAAAAAAAAGGTAGACTCCTGACAGCTTCGCACTGCTCAGCCTGGTACTTTAGATCCTGTGTTCCTTTGCCGTCTTCATGAGGCGATGCGCTGAGAGTAATTTGACAGGGAGGAGGGGTGAAGACACGTAGTTGTAGTAGGTGGCAGGGCTGAAGCATGGGTTCTGGCGTCTGTGCCATGCCTGGGAGCAGCAGGAAGGGCACCATCAGGGAGGTGCCTGGGGCTTGCTCTCCACTAACACTGTTAGGTGTTTCCTCTAACCCTTCTTTGAATCCAAAATAATAAGTCCATTTGGCCAAAAATAAGAAGCCAAGGCCATACCAAGAAGCCCTATCTCAAAAAACCAAAAAAAAAAAAAAAAGGGAAGGAAAGAGAGAGAGAGAGAGGAAGGGAGGAAGGATGGAAGGAAGGAAGGGAGGGAGGGAGGGAGGGAGGAAGGAAGGAAGGAAGGAAGGAAGGAAGGAAGGAAGGAAGGAAGGAAGAAAAAGAAACTACCAGGCCACTCCCTAGACTGGGGACATGGTACCATGGCAAAGCACTTTCCTGCCATGCTAGCCCCCTTCCTCAGGAAGGGGACTGCCTGGCCCTGTGAGTTGGTATATGTTCCGGAAGAGTACTCACAGTCATCAATTCCATCGTTTAACCAGTGTTTGCTGAGTGTCTATCTACTCAGTATCGAGATGTGTAGATGTGTGTCAGGAGCTTGAAGGAACAGTGGTGAGCGGACAGCCATGGCTCTCCTTCCCGGATGAGAGAGCCTGGTGAGGGAGACTGTTGCAAATTAAGGGGTGCGGGTGGCCCAAGTGTCTATGGACAGAAAAACATTGGCTGTACAGAATGCCATGGAACACACACAGTAGGACCATCTCCAGCCTCAGGCAGACGCTGCAGCATGTATGAACCCTGACAACTGGGCTACGTGAAGTAAGCCAGGGCCGAAAGCTCGCTTCTAGACACCACCACTGACATGTGGCAGCTGAAACGAGCAAACTCGGGGAGAGAAAGTAAGGGGCGGCTGCCAGGCCTGAGAGACAAAAAGAGGAGCCGGAGGGCGAGTGTCGTCCACCCTGCAGCACCTCCATTGGGTGACTTCGGGACCCGGCCATGCCTCTCCCACGGAAGCTGATTCAGGGGCCTGACCTGAGGTCCCGGCCCTGTATGTTTCTGTGCACGTGGCGCGTGTTCTCTCTCCTGGGCCATCTCATCTCAATGTGTGTGTGTGGCCGTAACCAACAAGTATGTGATGAGTGTGTTGTAAAGAGACCTAGCCTGCTCCCAAGAGTAAAAGAGAGGGACAGTTCCAGTGTCTTCCGCAGGGGCTAGATTCATTAGGCCGAACCTGAACATGGCCGACCTGATTCGGGAGTGGGGGGGGGGGGGAAGGCAGCGCTGCATGTTGGTGGAAACCATTTCTTAACATAGAGCAGTTGTCATGGTACATGGTGGGGAAGGGGCCAGCCTGGATGCGTGAGCCCTGTCTGTGCTGACTTTGGGCAAGTAGCCGAATTTGTTGAGGTCTCGACTTTCCCATCTGGAAAACGGGGCATCAACCCCAAAGCTTCCTCAAGGAACTGTTGGCACCGTATGTTCTGGGAAGTGGGAAGGAGACTTCCCACTCTTACGCTTTGTAGATTTTAGACCAGTGTGTCTGCTATTATCTTAGTCTGTTGTCTGTTACGATAACAAAATGCCTGAGATGAAATAATTGATGAAGGCTAGAGGTTTCTTTGGTTCCTTTCCAGGCACTGGGAATTCCTGGAGCACCGTGCCCATGCCTGGGGAGGGCCTCCATGTGTGTCATGCGGCCAGACTTGTTTTTACATTTTTATTTAGTGTGGATATAGAGGAAAGAGGACAGCCTGTATGAGTCTGTTCTCTCCTTCCACTGTGGGACAGGTCCTCAGGCCATCCCACCCAGCCCCTCCCTCCTTCTACAAAGATTTATTTGTTTTAATTTGATGCATAGCATGCAGACAGGACCCCGCGAAGCTCAGAAGAGAGCACCACATACCCTGGAACTGGAGTTACCATGTGGGTGCTGTGACTGACCCCGGGTCCTCTAGAAGAGAAGCCAGTGCTCCTAACTGTGTGGAGAGTGGTGAGCGGATTCTAGGGAACATGGTGTGCTCTCCTGTCCTGTTGGAGAATGCTGTGCACATTTGCACACTGAGGGCTCAGAGACATCCCACCACGACATCTTGGTTTATCCTCAGGCTTCCCAAATGTACATGATCTGGGTTAGTTGTTCCCTTAAGCTCTGCCTCTCCCTTTCCCTGCCCTCTCTCAGCTTATAATAGGCCACAGTTTAAATATGGCAC